CCCTCCCATCTCCACGGCCTCGGCTTCTTCCTCTGTCACTCGGGCACTGAACCACAGAGTGGTGGCAGGGATTAAACAAGGCCCGGTTGTCCAAGCCACCCAGGACAGTTCCTTTCTCGTCCTGGTGCCCCATTCTTAATGAGTCCCCAAGCCCTGCTTCCTCCAGCCCCCCTCCCTGCCTCCCACCTCTTCCCGCCTACCCTCTGCAGGGACCCAGGCAAAGGCTCCCTGAACCCCGCCCCCCCACCATGTGTCCCCTAGGGAGCCTCTCTTGGCACAGTCACAGAGACACCCACTTGGCAGAGCCCGGAGTGCCCGGCTGCCTCCAGGCAGCTGGGCAGGGGGTGGCTGGCATGTGGGGAGGGGGCCAGCTCCGGAGGTGGGCAGAGGTGGGGTGCTGATCCGGCTGTCTGCCCCTCGAGGGAGGGGTTGGGAGACCCGGCAGATGGGAGCAAGTCAGAGCTCCCCGTGTCTGCCCCATGCCCTGGCTCCACTCATGCCCTGCCTGCCTCTGGCTGGGCATCCCTGGACTGCCTCCATCCCTCCTCCTTCTTCTGCTGCCCCACCCTACTTGTCTCTGTTTCCCCTTTCGATTCGGTGCACACTCTGAGCCTGCTCTGGGCCCCGCCCAGCACCCTAGTCAGAGCCTGGTCACCTTGTGGAGAAAGCACCCCCGCTGCCACCTGAAGACGCGGAGCCGGAAACCCTAGTGAGTCCAGTAGAAGAATCACAGGCAAGGCTTGTTAAAGATGGAGATTCCCAGTCCCCAGCCCTTATGGGGTCTGAGTCAGTAGCTCTGGGGTGGTGCCCTAACCCACCTTTAGAAGCTAGACCCGTGAGGCTTCTCCGGACCGTGGGTGAGAAGCCCTGGTGGGGATGACTGCTCAGAGGTGCCCCCTGCCCTGCCTCTGGCCCCCAGGGCATCCTGCTGCCTTGTCCAGGGTTCTGTGTGAGGCCAGCTCGGTAGCAGGCAGTGGGAGACAGACTGTTGTTGGGGGAGAGAGGGGCACGTGGGGCGCAGGTGCAGCATCTGGTGAGGGAGGCCTTGAACTTGGATTGCTTGAAACCCTGCTCAGCCCCATGCTCCCCAAGACCTAAGGTAGGGTTCCTCCCATCCTTGGTCTGGGCATACCCTCCTCATGGGTTGTTGGGGACACAGACGAGGTCACACCCAGGGAAAGGTGCTCAGGGGGTATGTTGTGAGCACAGTATGTACATGATCTGAATAAAGTAAATCAACTGAAAGCCAACTGGTGACGGCAGTCCCCAGAACAGCCTCCTCTGCCACCCACTGGGTGAGGCCCCCTGCTCAACCTCCCACCCAACTCTCACCCCCCACAGGGGGCATCCATCAGAAATACCTGTTCCTTCCCACTCCTGCCTTATGCCACCTGTGCCTTACTGTCCTGTCCTGCCCCAGTCTCTTGGATTCTGTTCTCCAGATTGTCCAAGGCCCGTTCTTCTCCAAGGGCATAGTTATCCTGATCCAGTGCCCTGGGGACTCAGGAGGAGGAGGTGTCCCTCTGTGCTGGGTGGGCAAAGGGGATGCAGAGAATGCACGGTGTCCCCCACATGAGCACCATCAGGCCAGCCTGGCCGGCAGAAGTTAACACCAGGAGACTGGCACGGAGTGTGCCTGCGGCTGCGCTGGCCTCCTCTCTGTCAGGGATGTTCTCTGTGCCCCCTTAGGTTGTACAACTCTTTTAGGTTTGCCTCTCACCTAGAACTTTGCTCTGGGGCCCCTCCGTTTGAACCTGGGGCCAGACCAACCTCAGTTGGAAGCTGCCCCAGTTTCCTGTGTGCAAAGTGGGGACACGACTCTGACCTTCAGAATGCAGCAAAATGCTGGAGAGGATCCTTCCTGTCACCAGCAAGTCAAATTTTGCTGAAGATAATTCAAACACTGCTGCAGCTACCCAAAGAGCAGACCAGGTTCAGAAGGGCACGTGGGAGAACAGATATCATTGGTGACATCAGATGGATCTTTGCTGAAACAGAACACCAGAAAGATGCTTACTGGTGTTCTGTGGACTATGCCCAGGCATTTGACTATGCGGCCCATAACAAACAATGGGTATCTTACAAATAATGGGAGTTGCCCACAGATCACGAGGCTAAGTCTGATGGAAACAGAGCAAGGGCTGAACATCAGGACAGGTGTGCACTGGGGTTGTACCTTCTCACCGTACTTATTCAATCTGCATGCTGAGAAAATCATCAGAGAAGCTGGTTTACATCATGATGCGGCTCGTTAATAATCTGCAATGCAAAGACGACACCACCTTGCCTGCTGAAATTGAGGAGGACGTGAAGCACTTACCGATGAGGACCAAAGACTGCAGCCTTCAGTCTGGACCACGTCTGCATTTCAAGGGACTCGTGGGTAACATCGTGATGGATGGAGACAAGATCGACGTCATCTCTTGCTTGGATCCACAATCAATACTCATGGAGGCAGCCGTCGAGGGATCAAACATCAGGTAAACCTCCTGCACAAGACCTCTTTAGGGTGTTGAAATACAAGGAGGTGACTTTGAGGACTAATGTGTGTCTGACCCACGCCAGGGCATTTCCAGTCGCCTGGTCTGGACAGAGAACAGGGACGACCGATGAAGAACTGACGTACAGGAACTGTAAGTTGACAAGACTGCAATCACTGCGCCTGTTCAGAAGAATGCACACACCTGTCTGGGAGGAAGCACAGCTGGTTCGCTCCCTGGGGACAGGGATGGCAAGATGTTTGTCTGACATGCTGTGGACGTGTTGTCAGCGACCAGTCCCTGGAGAAGGACACCATGCTTGGTAAAGCAGAGGGCCAGCGAAACAGAGGAAGGGCCTCGATGCGATGGATGGACACGGTGGCTGCGTCCAGGGGCTCAGACAGCACAGTGCTGAGACTGGGCAGGTCTGGGCAGGTTCGCTCTGTGGCGCACAGGCTTGCTATGGGTCACTCTGAGTCGGAATCCATTCAACAGCAATGAGTTGAGTTGAGTTGAGTTGTACAAGGAATGCTCGTGGCATAGTGGATTCCACATTAGGCTGCTACCTGCAAGATCAGCAGTTCAAAACCACCAGCCGGTCTGAGGGAGCAAGACGAGGCTTTCTACTCCCATAAGGAGTTTCAGCCTGGAAACCCACCAGGGGCAGTTCTACCCTGTCCTGTGAGTCGGAATGGACGCTGAGGACAGGAGCATCCCTGTTGGGAGCTCTGTGGGCACAGCAGCCAGGCGTTGGCTGTGACCTGAAGGGGTGGTGGTCCCAGCCCCCCAACCCCTCCACCTGAGAAAGATAAGGTCCCCTGCTGCTCCCCTCAGGGGAGATCAACCTCCTCAGAAACGCGGAGGTGCAGCTCCTCTGTCTCCCGGGCTCTCTGTGAGTCAGAGCCCCCTGGACAGCTGAGGGCTGTCTTTCTTCGCCTTTATTCGGGGCTTCCTGCCAACAGCCCCCCCCCAGTGTTTGAGCCTCCAGGGGGGGTTCCCCACCTGTCCCCCAGGAATGTAAGGGGTTTTCTCTCTTCACCTGCTTCGGCTCAGGTGCCCACGCATGACCATGGCCAATGATCAGCAAGCAAGCCCTCCGTTGTCTCGGCCATTTGTTGACGTTCGGTGGCCTTTCCAGGACGTTTCTGCTTCCCTCCCCGCCCCCCTCCTCCCTCCCCAGAAGTTGAACTTCTTTGTCATCTGAGTTTGATTCGTATTTTAATTTTTTAAAATGCGACTGCTCTGCAGAACACATTGCAACGTGGGGCGGATGCTCTGCTTGCCATCAGCATGGTAGATTTATGCATCTGGGACACACACACACACACACACACACACACACCTTCCGGCCCCTGACATCTCTCCCATTGTCCCCAGTGTTCGGAAGGCTTGCCTTGCTTTTTACAGGAAAAGCCATGTCTTTGAATCAGAAGCCTTTCACCAGGGAGAGAGAGGCCCTTGGTTTTCTCAACCCCACCCTTTGGCCCCTTTGCTGCAGTCACCCCCAAAAGTCCCTAATGGGTAGGTGGCTTTGTCTAATCACCCGCTGAAGAGAGTGAGGTTTGGCAGCAATCCATTTTGCTAATAGGTCCTCGCTGTGGCACCTGGCTCCTCAAGGCCCCATTGAGACAGGGTCGAACTGCTCTGGTGGGTGTGCGAGACTCTCAATCTTTTTGGCAGTAGAAAGCCTCATCTTTCACCCATGGTGCGGCTGGTGGCTTCAAACTGATGACTTTGGAGAGGCAGTGAAAAAGAGGAAGACCCTCAAAGAGACGGACTGACACAGTGGCTGCAACAAGGGGCTCTGTGTTCGTCCAGGTTGACTAGAGAAACAAATTCATAGGGACGCTTGTGCGTATAAGAAAGAGTTTTATATAAAAGAGCAATTGAATATTGAGAAAACATCTCAGCCCAGTTCAGATCAAGTCCATAAGGCCAATATTAGCCCATATATCCGATACCAATCTATAAAGTCCTCTTCAGACTCACGCAACACATGCAATGGAAGACCACAGGCCAGTGGGTGGAAAGTCTTGTGGATCCAGTGGTGTTGGAAGTATCTCAGCACTGGCAAGCATCTCCACGTGGCTCCTCCAGCTCTAGGGCTCTGGCTCCATCAGTGTAGTTCCATGTGACTTGCCAACAGGCATGTGTAGCAGAGGGAGAGTGTGTGTCCCGCCTCCAGGGAGGAAGACAGGCGTTCCCAGAATCCTCAGGAGAAGGCCATGCCCACATAGAGGCATGATTGGCTATGACCTGATTGACAGGCTAGACTCCACCCCTTTGCAAGTTGACAGGAGATGTTGTCACCGTCACAGGCTCCAACATAAGCGCCAGGGAGAGGCTGGTGCTGGACTGGGCGGCGTTTCCTTGTGTTGTACATTGGGGCGCTTTGAGTCAGACCGACTGGCTAGCACCTGGTGACAATGGGAACTGGGGCACCACTCCCTGGGAATAAAACATCATCCAGCTATGGCGTCAGCTTCCCCGGACCGCGGACCCCGGTCCCTGCTCTCACAGAACAGCCCAGGCAGCCAGTTCCACCTGGATGTGACCCTGATCTGGTGTGTCTCCCTCCTGTGTGATGTCACCTGTGCCAGCCAGGCCAGGTGTGGGCTCCTGCAGGTAGGGACTTTGCTTCCCTTCTGGAGAAATACAGTGCCCTTTCTGGCTGCTTTGAAGGGTCTGGGTGGAGCACCAGACTGGGGTGCAGTGGTGGGTGGAGAGAGATCTGAAACAGCCCCGATTGCATCTTATGGGGGCTCTGGTTAATCGACGCCAGGCCTCATTCTCTACACGCAGAAAGTGATGTGCAGGAAGTGCAGATCACAAAAGAGATAATGGACCAGAAGCAGGTTTCGTGGTTTAGAAACAAGAGCAAGAATCAGAAGGAGAGAAAATGTAACTTGGACCCCGGGGGAATGACAGTGATCTTACCATTTGATTGACAAACTGCCTTTGAGCTCCTCCTGGGCTGCCAGAGGGAAAAGGGATACTGTGAGGTCTGCAGTCGGTGCAGAAGAAGAAACTGTAGCAGTTCTCCAGGGGAAACAAAGTATTTCCTCCGAAAGAAGAGAATCGGACAGCAGCTTCTCCTGTGAGGGTCTCTACTCCGTTGTCCTTAGCGACTCCGAGGAAAGTTGGGGATAAGTCTTCGCATTGGCACGTGTTTTCATTTCTCTTGAGTAAATACTTGAGATGTAGTGGCTGGATCGACTAATGAGACTATGTTTAGCTTTAGCAGAAATTAGAAAACCATTTCTCAATGGGTAGATGCCTCCCCACTAAAAATGTGTAAGAGTTTCGATTGCTTCTTATCTTTGACAGCACTTGTGCTTACTCATCTTTTTAATATTTTAGTGAGTGTAATGAGTGAATATGTTTTGAGTTTGTATTTGCCTAAGGACCGATAGCATTAAGCATCCTTTTCACATACATTTGGACATTTCATGTATCTTCTTGGATAGGGGTTTGTTCAACTCTGTCACCTCGGTGTTTGCATCTTGTTGTTTTATCATCATGGAACGAGGAGAGCACGTTTTAAAAAAAAATTTATTTCATTTATTTATTTTTTAAATCATTTTATTAGGGGCTCATACAACTCTTATCACAATCCATATATACATAAATTGTGTAAAGCATATTTGTACATTCATTGCCCTCATTATTCTCAAAACATTTGCTCTCCACTTAAGCCCCCGGCATCAGGTCCTCTTTTTTTCTCCTCCCTCCCCGCTCTCCCCTCCCTCATGAGCCCTT